TTTTATAAGACATAGTTGGGCGTGATCAAATTTTTGCACCGCTGCCGGGGAACTAACGGTCTAGTTGTAGGTGTACATATTCCCTAGTTTCAAGTTTGAACTTTTATTTTATTATTTTATTTTTTTTATTTTAATTTTATTTATTTATTTGAGAAACATGGCATCATGGAATTATGAGAGTTTTGATGTTGGTAATTCTACTTTTAATCTTCCTTATACATATTGTGAAGGAAACCACCAAGGGCAAAATTATCAAAATATTCCCGAGAAAGAGTTTTGTTCACCAACTCAATCTTATGTATGGAATGTGTGTGATATGTGTGGTAGTCAAGATGGTCACTTTTATGGTTGTGCTTATATTTCTCTTCTTCCCCCAATACCTTACTTTGATGGTTCTTCTTTTTCTGGTGAAGTTAATGGGAACAAAGAACCCCGGGAAGCTGACCTAAAGAAGATCGAAGATATGTTAAAGTGTCTTTTGGAACAACATAGTAAATTACAATTGCAGATAGAAAGGCAAGAGGAAACTATTCACAACTTGAAAGTTCACGTGAGGCAACTGGTTGAAGATTTTAATGCTCAACAAGTCAATATTGTGAATAGTATCCAAGAAAGCGTGAATTAGATACAGAAATTGAGGTGCTAGTGGAGAAGACCAGAGTAGTACACCAACAATCAATCGAGCTAGATTTTGAGGATGTCGATGTTGTAGAAGAGATACTAGAGTCAACCAAGGATATTGAGGATACATATTTAGTTGACTCTATTGTCATTAGTGTTGAGAATGTAGACAGCCCCAATGTTCATGTTGTTGAGCGCATTGGTCCACACTCCAAGTATTTTTCCACATTGTGTTTGGATGATGATATGGAAATAGAGTCGTCCGAGACACTTGAGAAGTGAAGGAATGAGGAACAAGGTGCCTACATTCTGGAATGCTTCTTGCTAGAAAGTCGGGAATACACATCTCATCTGAAGGCCAAGAAGTGTAGAATACTACATTATTTTATGGGGCCAGTCAGATTCGTTCCACCACCCCTAGATCATGATCATAGAGCAGAATCAAAACTTGGGGTCCACTTTATAAGTTCAAATTGCAGGCAGAAAGTGACTCGCGTCGGGCCGCGATGTTAAATCAAGCGTTTGTTGGGAGGCGACCCAGCTTTACTGCTTTTTTATTTTATTTTTTTATTTTTTTATTATATTATTTTTGTAGTGTCGATTTTTTATTTTCTAGGAGCATGAAAAGCAAAGCTATTGGAAGGATGCAACAGCAAACCAGTTGGTTGGTACTAAGTGTGAGGTACCCGCACGAAGGACCAAGCCTGGGAGAAGTCTGAGTACCCCATGAGCTGCTAGTGTTTCGGCCTTTGGCCTACCAGGGAGTTTCTTTTATCCTCTTATTAGTTATGGTGTGCATTGGGGACGATGCACAATTTTAAGTATGGGGTGAGGAGATTGTCTGGGTGACTTTCTATGCTATTTTAGTTGTGTTAGTTTAATTGAATATTTTTTTTATTTTTTAGAAAAAACGAAAACAAAAGATTGGACTTTTCCCGACGATGGATATCCTAGAAAATTTTCTTGAGGGTTTTTGTCTAAAAAAAGACAAAAAGGTTTTCTTTGTAGGTAGTGTAGTAAGTCCCCTTTGGTTTTTCTTTGTGCCGCGGTTCTTTTTCAAGGGTTTTGTTTGAACCGGGTATAGTTAGTTTTATTTTTTTAAGAGTAGGAGCTAGTGTGAGATGAATTGAATTGTAACAATATCTCTGAGCTTTATGATGCCTTGAGAATAGAGAGTACTTTGGTTGTGACGCTTAGGCTCAGTTTTTGACTCTTGTAGAATTACCTTAAATTGTATGATCTTAAATTTGCTTAATTACTTTGACTAGAGTGTCTTGATAAAAACCAATCATGAATGAGTTATGTGCCATGTGTGTGAGAGGTTTTGTGTTATTCTGTACGCTGCATTTGATGTCTAGAACTTGCCCTGTGTGTTTGCAAAGCGAAATAGTAGTTTTGTTCAGTCTTGAAATTGATATAGGCGTTTCTTTGTTGAGCCAGATATGTATATTTTACCCGCCTAATTGCTATGTAATGTAGTTAACCTCTTTGAGCATGTAATCTTATTTCTTTGGCAACCACATTACAAGCCTTACCAATTTGTTTGAATTAACCATCTATTTGAACCTTTTAACCTCTCATGAACACTTGAATTATTATGAACTTTGTAAAAGTTAAAGTGTGGGGTAGTTGGTTTGGCTTTTGAGTGGAACTAATGAAATAAGGAGAAATGTCCACTGTTTTGAAAAAGTAAGAGCCACTTGATTTGAAAAGAAAGAAAAAGAAAAAAATAGTTGTATTGTTGTGAAAAAAATATTCCTTGATAAGTGGTGGCTTTTGATGTTATTATGCTTAAAGAAGTATAAAGTTAATATATATTGATGTGAAGGTGGAGTTAAGGTTTGATATAAGTGTGGGGTTTGAATGTTAAAATATATGTATTAAAATGCTTAGAGAGGTGTAGTCACTCTTATATCCAAATGTATCCTACCCGACCCGTAGCCTACATTACAACCAATTAAAGTCTTACTTGATCCTAGACTGAATGAGCTAGATTAGTAGAGTAGTACACTACGAGCAAGCCTATGGTACATCTTTTTGGCATATGAATGTTATTTCTGAGAGTGAGTGAACTCTTTCTATCTTGAGTTCCTAAGTGTACTTAAATTTTATTGTGTGGAACTACACTCTTTTTTTGTGTGAGGGCACTTGATTCACGAAGGAAAGGTAATGTCAGTGACTTCTATGTTAGAGTAAGTGGGTGAGTTGTGAATAATGCGTGGTACTTGTGAGTCAAATCTTGAGGTGAAGATATTACGCTTTTGTGCTTAGTCTATTTTAAATGTTCTTGGTGTGACGAGTTAAGGGAATTGCTAAAAAGGTCATGTCTATAAGTGTAGTTTGATTGCTCTTGGACGAGCAATGTTTAAGTGTTGGGTATTGATGTGTGCCTATAATTTCATAGTTTCGTATATTATTTGTCTTGCATTGTACATGCTTTAATGATAAATTACACTTTATTTGTGCGTAATGGAGTCTATTTTATTTGTAGGTGCATCAAAAATGAAAGTAGAGCTAAAGGGATGATTAAACGTCGAAATTACGCTCAAGAACAGTGAAAAGGAGAAGCCGGGCAAAAGCCAGCTCGACCAGGCTTTATCCAGGTGAGGCCAGCTTAAAGCCAGGCCTAACTAGGCTTTATCCAGGTGAAGCCAGCTTAAATCCAGGCCTAGGCTGGCGTTATCCAGGCGAGGCCAGCTTAAAGCCATCCCCAATCCGAGTTTTGAAGGTTTTAATTGTTTCCCGGCTTGACTAGGAGTTGACCTACACGTTTAGGTCTTATCCTAAACATATAAATAGACCTAAAAATGTCACTTTTGAAGAAGGGATAGAGACAGGGAATGGGAGATCGAGTTTGGAGACACTTGAGACCTACGGAGGCAAGAACACACTAGGAGCAAGGTGGAGAATTCTTCTACGAGTTTTTCAATTCCTTCTTCCTATTTCTATTATTGGTTATGAATTCTATTATTGTAGTTATTGATACTATTATGAATAGCTAAGTTGTTATCTAGGGTTTTGATGGAACTCCTTGAAAGATGATTTTCCTATTACGTTAATATAGATTTGCTGTAGTATTTTCTCTATTTGTTCAACTACGTTATTATTGTGGTTGGTTGAAGAGCTCTCAATCGACTGTACCTATTTAGTGTGTATTACTCGGGAGAGAGTGCATATTTAGGTAGTTGTTGAACGACATCACTCCTAACGCATATAAGGGATCAATACGAAAGGTTTAAATGTGGGATTAAGGATAACGAAACATTGGGTGTGATCTAAGTGAGTTGTACTTAAAGCTAGCTAGCTTAATTCGAGAGAATATGTCTAGTAAATTGTGGTAATTACTCGGGAGAGAGTTACGACAGTCAGAGCGCTCATGATCGGTAGAGAATACTTAACGAATTTATAGAAAACACAGCGGGAAGGATTCCGACAATAGGGGAAATCATAACTTTAGACGTCCTTAATCTTTTCTCCAACCCTTAGTGTCTTTAGTTGTTAATTTACTATTTTAATTTGTTAGTTAATTAGTTAAACACAAGAATCTTAATATCTATAAGTTAGGAATTGTTCAAGCTTGTCTTCTTGGTAATATTGAACAATTGTAGCTAAGTCTTAGTTCTCTGTGGGATTCGATTCCGGACTTGTAAACCGGGTTATATTTACAACGACCGCTTAATCCTTTTTATAAGGCATAGTTGAGCGTGATCAGTGTGCATCAACTTCATATTCTTCCTTCGAACCATAGCTCAAATTTCAACTCAAAACAACCTCAAAGTTTCACCAATAGTCCCTACACCCAATTGAAATAAGTCATAATTATGCATATTTAACCCAACCTTCAAGTTCTTCAATAGCTTGAAATGGACTTCACTTTTCAAGAAACACAAAATTAACTCTAAAAAAATGTACTCATTCTATTCCAATAACACGCTTGAAGTAATTTATCGTTTCTGAATATAAACTTCTGCAAATTTTTCAAACGTAAATTGGATGGAGACCTAATCTCATTATTTCAAGGGTGTACAGTAAATTGAAGAATTAAGAAAGTGGAAATTTTAAGGTCAATTGGATTAATGGATATAACGCCCCACTGTGTGAATGACATAGCTTCTCTTCTCGGAACTTTTGAATTGTTTCAGTTTTCAATTCTTTGAAATTTGAGGATTTTGCGTGAGAATTTAGCCGGAGAAGCGGACAAGAAAGATTAGCCACTTTATAACTAAAAAGAATAAAAATTTGGCATTTTATGAGTGGACTAATTTCTCTACTTTAGAAGAGCAAGACTTTCGACATGTCTGCTAGGAATCTTTTTAAACAAGTTTGAGGGCACTTCAGTCATTTCTCATCGGCTATATACATGCCTTTTTGTGCTCTTCCGAGATATACGTGTACGTTTTTTGCTACTCTCAGATGTATGTTTTTCTTCTCTTTCAACATAAACATATTCCTTAGCAAAGCACACACAAGAAAATGCATCAGAGAAATGACCCATCATAAGATCAAATCGAAATCAGGTAAAAGTTCCTTTCTGAAGTTCAGATTCGAGTTTGATTCAAAGTTATTTTGCTCGATTATTGCTCTGTATCAGCTTTGCTCCTTGGTTTCTAGCTTTTAATCCATTCTTTTTGGTTTTGGCATTTGTTGGCCTGTGAGTTGTGTTTGTACCTGTGATTTGTGCTGAATTTTCCCACTTTCTCTCTCAAATCTCAGGTAAATTTCTTAGTCTTTAATATCAATTTTGTTATTTTCTATGTGTTTTTTCTCCTTTTTTTTTGTTCCAATTTGTTTCAACTCACACAACATCCGAAAATTTCAAAGGAATATTTTTTTTTAACAGACACTGCTGTGAATAAAATATGGGGTTTTGATAATTGATAAAAATCTGTTTTTTTCTTTTTGTGTGTGTTTGGGAGTGGAATACAACATGAGTTTTTGATATTAAAGTTTTTTGTTTGTTATGTGGGTTTGTCATTGAAGTGTTTATACATTTCAGTCTGTATTTGTTTTTTTTGTTCTTGTGCTATATTTTGCTGCTTACTTTTTTTGTGAAATGGTTTGTTAGTTTGGTTTGGAAAATGGAGGTGAAGAACCACTATCGAATTTCTGAAATTTAGTGATTTGGAACATGAAGGTTAATGCCCCTCCCATCTTCTTAGCCTTCTTACCTGTAGAGTTATGAACAGAGACTATTGTTAGTGCTCAAATCTCAAACAAAGAAGATAAAAAAGACAAATGATGTTTGTCAGAGTGATAGGTGAACAACAAAGAGCATATGGCACACTATCTGTATACTTCAACATCCAAGAAATATCTGAATTTGTGTACTTCAACATAAGAAAAGGATAGATTACTATAGACAATAGACCACTAAAAGAGTAAAAGTAGATCCTCTAAGACCTTTATATGTTAGAAGTACTTCAAAATTCTGTATTTACAGTCTATCAAGAATTCCAACCAAGGCAAAATGATTATACTTATCAGAACAGAACACCAGCATGGACACTCCATTTTGGTAACAGAAAGGAGTAGTACTGGTATAAGCCATTTTTTATTTGGAAGACAAGTATTGCGTTCAATTAGAAAGGCATGGTTTTCACTTTTCAGTATGTTTCTTCATAGGATAGCTTCCACCACAAGTTCTCTCCATTGACAGATAATAAAAGTCTTTAGATGCAGTGGCGAAGCCAGAAATGTTTTCAAGGGTGTTCAAGGTTGAAAGCAGTTGAAAAAAAAATTCCGACAAAGGATGTTCAGTATAGGTTTTATATATCTAAAATCAATATTTTACTTATACACACAGTGTAATTTTTTATAATTTTTCGGTGAAGGGTGGTTAGTTGAAGTATCGGAGTGAGTAAAAGGGATAAATAAATGAATGCATGAATGAGAACCTACTCGCCTTCCCTTCTTTCTCTCGCTATTCACTCTGCCCTCCTCCATATTTCTTCCTTTTCTGATCTCTCTTTGTTGCCTGACCACATGTTTCTTGAGCTTTTCGTGTAACAACCTTTCTTTATTACTTACTTCTTTTTATCTTACTTATTTCTTATTTCTTATTTTTTTCATCTGTCAATTTGATATGATTAGGGGTCTCTCTTTTTTCTTTCTCTGTTTATTTTCTTTTGTTGGGCTTTTGCTATCCAATGTAGTCGATGCAAAATATTTGAAATGTAAATTACCGGAATTAGCTTTGTAGCTAGACTTGCTAGCTATCTATTTTTGAGATTTCCTTTGTAATTTCGGGGTTTTACATCTTTCAATTTGGGATAGGTTTTAATCTTTTTGGGTTGATATAAACTAAAGGAAGTATATTTGTGGCTTGCATCTATCTATCTATTTATTTCTGAACTTACATTTGGGGCAAGTTTAATCTCTTTGGATTATGAGCCCGTTTGGATTAGCTGGAAAAAAGTAGCTTTTAAGTACAACTGCTTAAAAGCAGCTTTTAAGTGCTGAAACTTGTTTTATAAATAAGCAGTTACCTGTTTGGATAAAAGTGTTGAAGCTTAAAAAAAACTGTTGAAGTGTTTTGTAAACAAGTGTTGGCAAGAACTTTTTTCTATTAAAAAGACAGAAATATCCTTAGAGCTGTTAACATTATAAAGGAGCTGATTACTACAATATATTTGATTTATATAATAAATATAAATAAAAATAATTTATATTTTATTTTAATTTCAATTTAAATGATTACTTAAGATAGTTTTTACAAATGTAACTCTTGAACGCTCATTTTTAGTTTGTACAAACGAGGAAAAAATTGAAAATCTGGGTAAAAATGGTTCTATTCAGCTAAGATTGCCTGTTAATTCATTTTTTCCGATGCGCATGCAAGGAAAAAAAGATATAACCATTGAGTATGCGTCTAGCGGGTTCTCGTGGGATGTTTCTGTGACGACCCGGCCAGTTGTCTCATGAGTTGCCGCTCCATTTCCCCCATTTCTGCTTCTTTATGCTTCGTTATCCGTGATTTATGTGGTCGAGTTGATTGGTTTGCGTTCGGAGTGGATTTGGAAAGAAATGAGACAATTAGTCTCTTTTAAGAAAGTTTAAGTTGGAAAAGTCAACCGGATGTTATCTTATGTGTTAGAGGGCTCGGGCGTGAGTTCCGATGGTTCGGTTAGCTTCGAGAGGTGATTTATGGCTTAGGAGTGAGATCGGAATTGGTTTTGGAGGTCCGATGTAGAATTTGGTTTGAATTGGCGAAGTTAGTATTTTGGCGATTTCCGATTGGTAGGCGAGATTTTGATCCGAGGGTCGGAATGGAATTCTGAGAGTTGTTGTAGCTTCGTTATGTCATTTGGGATGTGTGTGCAAAATTTCAGGTCATTCGGACATGGTTTGGTTGGATTTTTATCAAAAGCGTGTTTCGGAAGTTTTTAGGAAACTTAGGCTTGAATTCGATGAGTTTTTGGTAATTTAATGTTGTTTGAGGTGTTTTGATGATTGGAACAAGTTCAAATAATGTATTGGGTCATGTTGATACTTTTGGTTAAGGTCCCGGGGGCCTCGGGGTGATTTCGGATGGCTAATGGGAAGTTTTGGAACTTGGATGATTGCAGATTTTCTGATGCTTTTGGTGTTTTCGCACCAGCGGTTTGGTACCGCAGGTGCGGTCTCGCAGATGCATTGCTTGGGTCGCAGAAGCGGAAGGCTGAGGGAGTCCTGTTATCGCAGATGCGGAAAAGGGGCCGCACCTGCGGAGCCGCAGATGCGGCGAGTGGACCGCAGATGCGGTGTTGGTCCGTTAAGTGAAATTCCGCAGATGCGGAGAAATGACTTCAGAAGCGGTACTGCAAAAGCGGGTATTGGACCGCAGATGCGGTTAGGACTGGGCAGAATGTATATATGTTTCTTCTTTGTGATTTTTGAAGGGTTTATTCATTTTTAACTTCGGACTTGGAGTTTTTGGGAAATTTTGAAGAGAGATTTCAAGGGAACTTCGATAAGGTAAGGATTTTGGACTTAAAACACACTTCTATGGTGATATTTCATGAATTAGGACTGAAATTTAAGGAATTAATAGACTAAAATGGAGGTTTAAGGCTTGAGTTTAAGAGAGCTTAAATTGGGGATTTGAGGGGCCAATTGAAATCCGATTCTTGTGATTTTTATATGTATGAACTCGTGTGAAGATGAGGAATTTAATGATGTGAAAATTTCTGAGTTTCGAGAAGTAGGCCCGGGGCTCGGGTTTAGCTAATTTCGGGATTTTTGATATTTTTCGATTGTTTTCGCTTGGGCTTTGTTCCCTTAGCATATTGTGACGTATTCGTTCTGATTTTGGATAGATTCAATGCGCGTGGAGCCGATTCGAGGGGCAAAGGCGTCGCGAGCTAGAGTTGTAGCCGGTTCGAGGTGAGTAATGATTGTAAATGATGTCCTGATGGTTTGAAACCCCGGATTGCACATCGTTGTGCTGTATTGAGGTAAGACACGTACTGGATGATGAGCGTGGGGTCTTTTACTACTGGGGATTGTGACTTGGTCTGTCCCGACTGATGATTTTACCGTGTATTTGATTGAAACTTATTTGTTATCATCATGATTTGGGCTGATTGCCATATTTGGGCTTCGTGCCAACTATTTGAACCCTTTGGGGATTTTTTGACTGATTTTCCTCACTCTACTTGTTAAAAAAAATCATATCCTCAGTCATGTTTCTATCTGTTTTTAACGATTTGAGCCGGTTTTATCATTCTATTCCTAAATGAGAGGAATTTGTGGGCTGATATCCCTACCTTCTATTATTGTGCCCGAGAAGCTGTGAGGTTAATGACTGAGAGGGGTTGAGAACCCAACAGTGAGGATATTATATATGTTATAGATCGGGTTTCACGCCGCAGCAATACTTATATGGATCGGGCTGCACGCTGCAGCAATATAGTGCTTGGGCTGTAGGAGCCCCTCCGGAGTCTGCATCAGCAATGTACGATTCGGGTTGCACGCCATAGCGGTTATCTCTGATTTCTGTTATTGTGAGAGATATATGAGTCGAGTGCTAAGAATGAGTACTAAGTGATTGATATTGTGCCCGAGGAGCGGGTCTCTACTTGTTATTTATTTGCTAAACTACCTGTTTTACTTGAGTTAAAGAGATTTCATTTGACTTCTTCACTGATTTACCGCTTTAAGTGATTTTACTGCTTTGATATAGAATTGCTTTGTGCCTTTACGTGTTTTCATGCTTTCAGCCATTATTTATAATTATTACTCACTGGGTCGAAGTACTCACATTACTCCCTGCACCTTGCGTGCAGATCCAGGTGTTTCAGAGGCTGAGTGAGAGTTTTCCCGTTGATCAACATTTGCCGGAGTTATCGAAGTAGCTGCATGTAATCCGTAGACCCGATTTCTCCTTCTATCTTATTACTTTCCACATTCCTAGATTATTTATGTATTAGGTTGTTCAGACTTGTATTAGAGGCTCTTGACTTGTGACACCGGATCAATGTGGGCTAGGTAGTGGTATTATCTTTGGACTTCCGCATGTTTAACTTACTGTTTTAGACCTTTATTATGCTAAATTGGTATTTAAACTGTGTTAGCTGGTAATGAATTTATAAGAAAATGGGTTGTGGTTGATAGTTGGTCAGGCTTGCCTAGCAATGTGTTGGTCTGCCATAATCGTATTTTTCTTGGCATCCCATCCTAAATCTGTCTCCCCTCTCATCAATTGCTTAAAAATTGTCCATTCACCTTTCATGTAATCCCAATAATTTTTTATTTTTTTATCATAGTCTTTTTTCGTCCTCTTATAGAACTCGTCAACAAGACTTTTCCACTCATCTTTATTTAAGTAAGTGTTTGGTCTATTTCTTTTTCTAAAATTTTGCTCACACAACTCAATAAATATAATATGTGTATCATCGTCTCACTTAGCATTGTCCGGCATAATTGAATGTAAATAATCTAAAGAAAGAAGAGCAACCAAGAAGCTAAGACTGAAGTTGCATAATAGGAATACCAGTACTTTTGTAACTTCATGATCCATAGACATCTTGAGTAACAATTTTATTGTTTTTCTCCTAAAATGGGAGATAGAACTAAGAACTCAATTATTTCAAAGAGATTAATTATGATAACTGTTGGATTTTATGGACTCTCCAATATGTACCCTTGATACCATATCTGAGCTTTGTCCTCTCTCTGTTTCTACCCTTTTTCTACATTCTAGTTAAATATTAGTATCTCTCTAACGGGTGAGTTCATCTCATGTTAGTATTTAATAATGATACCATTTGACTCTGATTATGTTCCCAAAATTAAGTAGTTTAGTTCGGTTAAAAAAAACTAAACCTTACATTTTTTGGTTAACAAAGGTTTTAGCAATAACCTTGTGTATCATACTTCAAAGACAGCTTGATATTCAAGAAAATTACAGGGACTGTAGTTATGAAGATAGCACATAGAGCAAATGCATGCAGAAAATATCAACTATAGTTCTTGACAAACAAAAAGAAATTCTGTAAAGGATATGAATCAAAGTTATCACTACAAAGCCGCTCTTAAACCTATAGCAACCTAAAACAATGAGTACAAGTGTTACAGATCACTTTGGATCTGTAACAATGACATAAGTACCAGCAGTATTAACAATACCAGCAGTAACAAAGAAAAACAAGACAGTGATGATTTGGTTAAGAAAAATATTAGTGCTCGATGACATGCTTATATGAACAACTTGGCAGAGGTGTTAACGACCTATCAAGCACTTAGCTCCAGCACTCCTAAACTACATTTTTCTTCATTTATATAAAAAGAGTCAACTTTGATAAATATCAAATATTCTACTGTTTTCTTTGCTATAACACCAAAATGGATGAAGCAGAGATGAAGATGAAAGGAGCCAGCAACCTAAAGCAAGATCGTTCTTGCATTTGTATAGTCAAAAATCAGTAAAAAATTTCAAATGAATTCAAAAAAAAATATACTTTAAGGATCGAGAAGAACTTACAATGATAATTGATTTTCACTGAATTTCTTGAAGAAAAGCGCAGAAAAATTAGAAATGAAGCAGAGATGAAGATGAAAGGAGGAACGACAGTCTTCAAAGTGAAGAAAATAGGAGAAATACAATCTTTTAGGGTTTCTTTGACTGAGAGTAATTTTGGTATTATAAAAACTTATAAGGGACAAGAGAGTAATTTTCTTGGTCAAACCAAAATGGCTTTTAAGCCAAAATTGAAAAAGTTGGGGTCAGCCAACTTGTTGTTTTTGGCTTTTTTAAGCACTTTTTAGCTTTTTTAAGCAGCTTTTTTTTTGCCACACTCCAAAAATTTAAAAAGTGCTTAAAAGCTGGTTTGACCAGCTTTTAAGCCCATCCAAACACCTCTATGAAGTATGGTACAACACAGTAATGAAAACACAAAAAAAAAATGAAATTGTGAATGTTGTGAATCTTGCTTCATTTTGGTTTGAGGAAAGCGGAAAGTTCAGTTCTTTGTATTACAATCTGTTAGAGAGGCAAAGTTTGAAGTTCCTCAATGCAAAAAAGTGATATTTTTGCTATTGAGCTGAAAAATAATTTTTTACTTTCTCAAATTAGAAACAAATAGAAACTGATATAAACATCAAGATTTAAGACTTGAGACCTTAAACATATCCTTTTATATGCAAGCATTAGAAATGCTAGTGGAAAAAATTAAATTCATGAAGAATCAAAAATGTCAAGTGCATTAGAAATAAATGGTAACTGAATTAGCTGGCTCAACTCTGAAAATTGAGTGATGATAATTGTCTTCACAAAATTTCAACTTTTTTATCTTACATTTTTCATGTTTTCTTCTCTCATCCCGCTTCATGCTTACTGTTTAGTTGAATTTTTTAAACTTTTGCTTTATGCTTATCTGATAGCAATGAGTAAAATGTTGCTATTTGGTTACTTTATGTTTCACTTTTGGTGTTTTGATTATTATGTAAAGATTTGTTTGAGTCCTAGAAGGGAACACGTCAGCTGATTGTATATCTTGTATCAAATTTCGTATGGAGATAGTCATACTCATATTTTTAGTTCCATTTTGCGGAGGCATGCGGATTTTCAATTTATCTTCTTTATTATTGCAGTTCTAACGATTCGTTGTGGTTATTTTCTACTTCTGTTATTCAGTGGCATTCGAACCGGAAGGTAAATTTTCTAATATCTCGTGATTTATTTTCAGGTATTGTAAGTTTTTGCTTGAGTTCTTTTAAAAAATTATAATAAACATATATAAATATTAGACATTGTTGAAAATATATTCAATAATGCGAATACGCACTTGACATTTCTCCTTCAGGAAATAGATGAGTGAAAATGTCGAGTAAAAATCATAAAAATGAAAGCTCCGAAAAAATACATGCTGACAAGAAGACTAGGCGACGCGTATTATACAAGATGATGCAAGACGATAAAAAGGAGGCTCTCCTAGCGCGAGCACAAGCGCGAGCAAGTAAGGATGAAACAAGTGGCCGGCAACTTCCTGCCTGCTCGCTAATTAATAGCTTTGTTACCGCATCATCCTCTATGAGTGCTAATATTTCAAGCGAGCAATATCTTCCTTTTGTGGGACATTCAATATATGAAGTAGGTTAGAGAGCTAGACTGTCATTTCTTAATGGTATATGCAATTATAAATACATATATGCATTTATAACTATCAAAATTATATACTTATACTTGTTATTGTTGTATCCCAGGATCTACATCTAACACAAATCATGAACAATATACTGAAGAGTCAATAACAATTCGACCATTAACTGATTATGTTATGTTAAAAATTGTTCCCAAATGCAAATTTTGCGAAGCCAAAAAATTTGAATATGAACCACCCACATTCTGTTGTCGCAAAGGCACTGTTAAACTGATTTCACATCAAGTACCACAAGAGTTAAGAAATCTGTATCTAGGAAATACTGAAGAATCAAAGCATTTTCGAACCTACATAAGAACATACAATAATATATTTGCGTTCACATCCCTGGGAGTAAGCTATGACAAAGAGCTGGCAAAAAGGAATAAAAGTATTTATACATTTCGAGTTCAGGGATAAATGTATCATTTCATAAATGACTTGATACCAAGTAATGAAAAAGGAAAAATCTACAATTATATTTTTATGATAATGAAAATGAGGTGAGCAATTGAATGGCATGTTCCAATAAATTGATAATAAAAATTTAATGGAAATATTAAAAACCAATCCTTACACTACGTTTTTGAAATCCTTAATAAATATCCCACGATTATTTGATTTCTACATTGCGCTTAAGTGTGATGTTGGCCTAGATCAACGAATATACAATCTACCAACTACATCAGAAGTGGCAGGAATATGGGTAGAATAAGATACCAATAATTATATCCCTACACCATATACAAAAAGTGATAGAAGCCAGCTGGTAAATTATTATTACGGATGTTATGACCCATTGCAATATCCATTACTGTTCCCTTACGGTCAAAATGGTTGGCATTGTGGTATTCAAAAACTTAAGCCTTCAACTACCCCTTCTAGAACACATCCGTAAATTGAATACGATCAATTGCCATGTCTAACAAATATGACTTCAATTGATGGATTCCTTGACATGGAAGCTGAAGTGATGCAAAAAGGCAAACGAAAAAGAGAAACAGTTTCCTGTCGTGAATATTATTGTTATCAACTCCAAATTAGAGATGATGAAAATATAATCTTACATTCAGGACGATTATTTCAACAGTATGCTGTAGACGAATGGATAAAAGTTGAAACTCAAAGATTAGATTTCGCTTTTTTCAATCAATTTTTTTTAGGATGGACGTGTTAGCGGGACTTTTATATATTTTACGACGCGGTGATAGAGAAGGCTCATAGGTAGGTAAGAACAGAATACTTCCACTTAGCTTCACAGGAGGACCAAGAGATATGGGTCGCCGGTATACGGATGCTATTGCATTAGTGCAGTGTTTTGGAATACCCGATATATTTCTAACTATGACATGTAATCCTTCTTGTCCTGAAATTCAAGAAAACTTGTTGTCGATAGATTAGGCTCAGAATAGACCCAATTTAGTTAGCCGAATATTTCGAGCAAAACTAGAAGAGCTTAAAAAGGATATACTAAAAAGACAAATATTTGGTAAAGTTACAGCATTTATGTACACGGTCGAATTCCAAAAATGGGGACTTCCGCATGCTCATTTTCTTATTATACTCGATGAAAAATACAAACTATTGACTCCTGAGGAATATGATAAATTTGTTTGTGCTGAATTACCGGATCCTAAAAGAAACTCTAATTTATTTAAGCTTGTTACACAACACATGAAACATGGTCCTTGCGGTCAATTAAATCCAACAAGCCCCTGTATGAAGAAAAAAACGGTCATTGTAAATTTAAATTTCCAAAAGAGTTTGTTGAACAAACAACTAAAGGAAAAAATTCATACCCTATTTATAGAAGACGAAATACGGGAAAATCTGTGGAAATTAGAGGACAACTTTTTGATAATTCATGGGTTGTTTCTTACAATCCATTCTTACTTAGTAAATTTAATTGTCATATAAATGTGAAGATTTTCTCTGATATTAAAGTTGGTAAGTACATTTACAAGTATATTTGCAAAGGACA